GTTAGCATAATGTATTATAATGCACTACGTAGTGGGTCTCTGAGGTTTAGTAATCCCTGTCAGCAACCAGAATAAATGGAAGTAGCTTCCAAGAGTTGCAGAGCCTGTGAAAAAACTGTTAGTTCTCAAGAACTACTAGCATTCAAACTCACACATGCAGCATCTGAAACAGAATCTCATGAACAGTCTTTCGTCTCAATCATTTGTGAAAGTCAAATGCATGAAGAGTGCTCAAGAAAAGAGCTTAAAGAGAAGTCGGACTGAGCACTACCGGTTTGATACCTTCCCTGCTGACACAAAGATTTGGTGTGTTCTCTCAGGCTTGGAGATGGCGGAAGTTTTTGATGTGTAACCTTTTAATATGCCTGGACACTGAATTTGCTAGCTGAGAACAGCGAGGTTCCATACGAAAGTATGCACACCTACTTACGGAGGGTGTCTAAGCCGCCAGTGAGAGGTTTTTTGACTTTTTTTAATGCACAACTGGATTGGGGGAAAAAAAAATCACTAGTACTAGATGTTTTGTGTGCACAACATAACGCTGCATGGGGTGAAGGTGCACTGCAGTTACTGAAGACCTGAAGCCCCAGCTGCCAGCTGCTCAGACCGTGCAAGGGCATCTCTTACTCTGTGCTTGCCCTGCTCTTTCTGCCCTTTCCTTACACAGCCCCCAGGGACTAATCTGGCTGGAGCGTTGATCTCATCTAGTACAGCTGTACAGATTTTTTTTTATACTGCTGTAAATTACCAGCATATTTAATAAAGTCTTTCAAATTTTACTACTGTAGCTCAGTTAAAGACCTGTTACCCAATAGCACAACCCTTCAGATCAGTTCAAATGATTAAAACACTTTCAGAAATACTTAGGCTACTGTTTATATGGAGATAACATCACTGTAATAAATACTACTGTCTTTACTCAGGCCTGCATATTCTCTGTAGCGTTCCACTCTTCTGTTTGTATCTTTTTTCCTGTGTTTTTAAAATGCTCATCACTGCTCAGCTGAAATTCTGTTTAAATGTTCAAAGGCTTTTACAAAACTATCCTTTACTGCTGCGCACATACTTAAGATAACAGAAAATCAAGTCAGTTCTGTTGCTACAATTCCACAAGCAAAATCCCTTACTCCCAAAGCATTAAAATGCCTGAGCCTCAGCAGAGTTGCCGAGTACAGTATTCATTACTGTATAGAGCCATCGCAGCCGACTGCAATTGCAGCCTGAAGCTGCAGTGCCATTACGCACGTGTGTTGCAAGCCCATGCTGAAGCATGTGCTGTTTCATCTTCACCTCTTGATTAGAGTAAATGAGGGTACAACCATAACTCTAGCCAAGCCCATTTGTTCTGTTTTTAACCTTGCAGACACATGCAGAAAGACATAAGAGGGAGGGGGAAACCAACAGTGCTTAACTAAAAGAAAGCTAGGAGACAGTTGCTAAGACCACAGGTAAATCTGTTTCCTAAAGCCTTTCCTGATCTGAGCCCCAGGAAGCTGTGGCTGCTTACTGCAGTAGATCCCATCTCTAATTGCACATGCCATGCTCTCTGTTTCACTGGGCTACTTGCATCATTTCATCTGTTACCATCTTCTCCAAGAGGTCTCTTTTCTGATCAGTCTTCAGCCTTTACCAAGGTAATCACAAACATCATACAGACCGCTCAGCATCACAAAAACCTAAGACTTCATCCTGTTTTCAGTATAAACTGTAATAAAATCAGTAGTCAAAATACCTTCCCTCCCTTTCATGCTTAGTGTTACTGCTTTTCTGAAATAGAGCCTTGGGGGGTTTTCCCACTACATTTTGAATTTGTCTTTGAAATAATATGGAAACTTCCCAAGTTGCAGGTGCTCTAGAAGTTAAATTGCAGAGGGCTTGCAGGATGAAAAGCATGCCTTTCTTTTCCTGGGGCTTTATCCCCTGCAGGCAATGAGAAAATCACCTGCTCATAAGATGACAGAGAGGAATCTTTTTGCAAAATGAAACTAGTTATCAATATCTCAAGCAAAAGATGGAAGCACGCTGAGCCAGAAATAGAAGGTCCTTCTGCTGCTGTGCCTTGCCTCCTCAAACTGCTTATTCTTGAGCTTAGCAGCCACTGCTGTCTTTACCCACCAGCTGCTCTGTAAGAAGTGCTCTTTGAAGCCATTTATCAGCACTGACTCTCTGCTGATTGGGGGGTGGCAAGCGGGGAAGACTGGAACAGCTGTGGAGGAATGACTGCATACCACCTGGTTGTAAGTCATTGCCTCTGATTTGCAAACTGACCTTCCTCCCGTCGGAGCTGGGTCGCGACTGAGTCGGTTCTTATTAAGGCCAGAAACAAACTTTAACTTCAAAGAGAACAGGATTGCGAACAATGCTTTTGGGTCACTTATTTGCTTGCCTGTCTAACCATGTTAGAATATTCTTTCAAATGGCTGCTGAAGAAGGAAAGACTGCTCTGTCTGCCTTTTGCTAGCAGTGGGCAGGCTCTGCTGTTGGCATAAATGTGTGGAATCTTGCAGCAGCAGTAACTATGCTGCTCGGTGGGATGCTAATGGCATCGTGCAGTACAAGCAGCGTAAAGGTCTTTGCTTTCATGAAAATAGCAAATTATAGTTGAAGACTGGGCATCTTTGCATCCTACTCTGTTTGTTTGGCTTTGAAGAAAGATTTGACAAGCCATTCCCTGTACGGTTGCTTCGCAGGCCATTTACAGTAAGAGTGCAAATCCCTGCAGTCTGCCTAATGGTGTCTGGAAGAATGAAAGAATTTGCTCCTGTCACTGTACAGTTGCTTTTTAACAGCTGGATTCTCAACCACACAACCTTCTCTGCTCTAGATTGCCCCCTCTGCATCAGTTGTACCCTGTACAAGTAGTTTGGCAGGGAGAGAGGAGGTTCATTTGTCTCCTGCTCTTACCTTCCTCCACTTACTATTCTCTGCATAGGTGATGGACATGTACCACAAGACACCATCAAATCAGTCAGGTAAAACATTCACTTGTGAAAAATAAATAGTGGTTCCTACCCTAAGAAGTGGAGAAGAAAACTGAAGATGCACCTTTTTGCTGAGAGGTGAAATGTTTTATTCAGCGCACAGGCTGTCAGGGCACGAGACCTCCCACGGCCCACTCGGTCACAGACCTTGGGAAACTTCTGTGTTCTGGACACTCATAGGCTAAGCAGCAAGGACAATCTCTGGCACACCACCAAAGAATGAGAGTGAAATCCCAGCTGTCTTGGAGGTGGTAGGACTTAAACGACTAGCTTTAGAAGGCCTCTGAACATGTAGGAATGTGACAACTGGCTCATAAGAGAAGAGCTAGACACTGTGATGCTAGCTTGCAGGCTGAATTACAAGAGAGTGGTTATAGAGTCTTACAGAGCCATCAGATTGTACAGCTAGCATGCATCATTTACCTGGTATGCTGGTTTGTAACCTGCCAGAGGAGTGCCAGAGCATTTAAATCACAAAACCAAGTTAAATGACAAAGTAGTTATACTTGAAAGGATGTCTCATACCCCTTCTTACAGGAAAAGTCCTCTAAGGGATGTCAGCACCCTTCTTTAGGGGGTGCCTTGAACCAAAGCTGGACCTGCCAGCGGCCAAGAGCCCCCTCAGTCCAGACTGAAGCCCTGCCTTGGGACCAACCAAAAAATTAAACAGCATGTACTACCGCTGTACCATTTGTTGCGGGTTTTTTATGGAAGTTTTCCTTTCATCTGTGGACTAAAATGCACACTCTTTAAAATAACAAGACTGGGTGGATTTGTGGCCTGAGGGCACTGTGTCGCAGGACTATTCTGAACACCTTTGCCTTGCTAGCAGGCATGTTACGTACCATACTAGTATCAGCAGCACATTTAAACCCCTAATGTTAGGTTTAGGTCAGATCTCTGGGTCTTGGAGTACTTCAAATCTTTAGTTATGAAAACATTTGATAATCTGTAGGAATATGGGTGTCTTAACCAGAGCAAGTACTGTAAAAATCAAGTTTCTTACTCTTTTTGTAACAATTAGACCATTCAAGTACAATCATTTGCAGGCACTATAAAAATTCTTTCTATATGCGTCAGTCTTGGACTGGAATTGCTTCTGAAGTGAATATGCTTCTCTTACTTGTGTACTCTGTGTATTTGCATGAAACCTGAGTATAAATATGCTATGTGTACACTACATTAAAAAGTCTTTAAATTGTTGCAAAAATGTGCTTTGAATACGTTTCTCAAAGTAAAGGATATGAATTCTGACTGTGTTTATGAACTTCCTTTGTGATTGTTTCTTTTCCAATATTTTCGACTGATTGATTTGAGAGAGGTGAGATTCTGGTTTCCACTCTTTATTGAGAACAACAAAATTGGTCGTGACTTTTGGAGCATCCAGCATCCTCAACTTAAGTCGAAGACAAGAACTGTTGGTGGTTGGGGTGGCTCTCTGAAGAGCCTTTTAAAAGTTTCCCTCCAGTTTCTCCTTGATTACAGTCAGACCGAACCGTAACATTTCATTTGTTAGAATCCAGGCCCAGCAAACAAATAATTGTTAGGTTAGCATGCATGGGGGGGGGGGGGGT